CATGTAGAATTAATGGAATTCCCCTAAAAAGCTTTCTGACTTTTGACACCAAGTAGTTGCCAAGTTTTTTTGTTTGCCTGAAGTAAGATAAGGCCAATTAATGTTTTACAAATATAAAATGAAGGATTAATATAAATAGGTTGGTCTTTAAAAAAAACTATGAAAGTTTTGAAAGTAAGCATTTTCCTTGCAATGTTTCAAAACCCTGTAGAATCAGGTAGAATGGAATTCCCCTAAAAAGCTTTCTGACTTTTGACACCAAGTAGTTGCCAAGTTTTTTTGTTTGCCTGAAGTAAGATAAGGCCAATTAATGTTTTACAAATATAAAATGAAGGATTAATATAAATAGGTTGGTCTTTAAAAAAAACTATGAAAGTTTTGAAAGTAAACATTTTCCTTGCAATGTTTCAAAACCCTGTAGGACAGTAAAAGTTTGAGAAGCTTTACAAAGAGGCCTTTCCCTTTTATATCAACCACCTGCTTGTACAGATGGTTAACTGTTTATGTGGGACAGGAAACCAAGATTGTTCAAAATACACACTGGGTGTGCCAGCCATGAATAAAGAAGAAGAAAAAGCCTCCATATAAGCAATGTCAACCAAAGTGTGCAGCATCTGTAGCAGTACTCTTCTGCACACCACTTATTCTAAGTACAGAAAATGCATAGACTTGAGACATTAATAATCTATTCTGAATTGCACTCAGGAAGGGAAGAAAATTAGGCATGAGTGCTATATCAGGAAATTAGAGCAGGGCTGATAATAAAATATGTACTGTATTTAGTGTGTATTATAAATTACTTTGTATTTATAAATACAAAAATGAGAGAATGGTTCTAGTAAAAATGGTGTATAAGCGCTACACAATCCATGTCAGTACACACTTCAAAAATTAGCTGAATGAATTTTTGGCAAAACTCCACACATAGACACATCTTTGTAAATTCCTAAGCATTCTTAGTTCTTAAAAAAACACCTTATAAAATTAAAAAAATCTTCCATCAATATAAACTGATTTTAATATTTTTCAGAATATGGGCTTCTAAAATGTCCAGCCAGCAGAGCCAGTTTTGAGAATTTGGGGAATTGAAGTCCACTCACCTGGAAGCAGATTGGAGAATGCTTTTGTGGAGTACATTAACTCCAGATTTCATAGCACTCCGGGTTTATAAATCAACTGAAATTGATGAAGCATCATCAACCAACTTAATCTGTTTGAAGCTAACTTGTTTTGTGATTACTTAGTCCTCCCCCCCCCCCCGCCAAATTAAGGCTGTATTTTTGCAATATTAAAACACTACAAAAGTTCCATCCTAGATAAAAACTATATTCTTTTGCAAACAGACAAATCACACATAAAGCCTGCCAGCCAGAATATAGAGAGAGTAAAGCAAGGTGTGATCATGGGATTCTCAATGTGGGATTTGGATTTCTTCCTAGACATATACCTGTCCTCAAATTACCTCTCTTTATATTTCCTCCCCTTTAAATTCAGATCAAGTTATGTTCATATTTTCTATCTTCTCCAAGCAGAAAACTGATAAACAGTTACCACTGCTTGTGTGCAGCCAAATGCCATCAGATATATATTGCATGAGAAGAATGGATTATTCCATGTCTTTCTCGGAGGAAGAACCATCCAGATCCAGAGAGTTTCAAAGGGCTGAATAAGACAGGGCACATCCAGGACCTCCCTTGCTTCTACTCACCAGATCAGACCTCAAACTTCTCGTTGCCCTTCCAGTTTAAAACGTTTCACCCCTTGTATTATCTCGCACAAATTGCACTCGGGCGAGGACCAGGGCAGGACTGCTTCTTATCTATATTATACTCAATGAATCTCGAGTTCCCCATGCTCTTCATGCCCACTGTTCAACAGCTAAAAGAATTTAATAACTCTAAAAAGCAATCCGTCCAGTAATTCATCCTGCAAAAAATGTCTGTGGAGGTGGCGTCTTCCAGTGCAGTGTTTCTCAAGCTTAACAATTTTAACACATATGGACTTCAGCTCTAATTACCCTGCCCAACAATGTGCGAAGTCCACACATTTTAAAGCTGCCAAGGTTGAGAAACACTGCTCCAGGAGTAGCAGAATTCATACCACCCAAACTCACCATGGCAACGCCACCGAGCGGATGGGGCGAGGTACCGGAATCAGGCACTTGGGCAGCTGCAAGACCGCCGGCGGGCTTCTTTGCATTCAGGCGGAGGGAGCGCGCTCGAAGCGATTTTTATAAGGCCAAAGGGGAACGGAAACGGGGGAGCCACGCCCTCCCATCCCCGCCTGGTACAACAGAGACGGGAAGACGAAGCTCTGGGCCTGCTAATCTGCTCCCCCGCCTCCCCCCGCCCCGGGCAGCAAGGGGTGATAGCGCGTTTGTGCCCTGTCCAGCTCCGCGTTTTGTTTATTCTATTGCATTTTTTGAGAGAAATAAAATTGAGCGGAGGGAAGGGATTTTTCAGTTCTAGGGGAGGACGCAAAAGGAACAAAAATAAGCCCCACTCCTAAGAGCAAAGTATGCTGAGGAAAGCCTTCAGATAGTGGTGATGGGGGTGGGAGGTGTAGGTCACTAAAGAAAAAGGAGGCAAAGTGTGGAGAATTCCCGAAATTTACAAAAAGAAGTGATACAGAAAATGTAAGAATATATATCCACCGGAGTATAAACTCATACAGCCCAACAGAAAATAAACACGCTCAATTGTCAGGAAAAAAATGAAATGGGAGATGAAGAAATGCTTAGAAGTAAAATATCTCAAGGGTTGGGGTTTTTTTTGCCTAAAACTGTACAATATACACCAACAAGGTTTCCTTCAGAGGTTTGGGATTATATTGCTCATAATGGTTGGCCACATGGCTCTTAAGAAAACTCATTTCCTTGCTGGAGCTTTTGCTGCTAAAAGGTAACAAAGTTGCATTACTTGATTTACAAGGATGGAAAACAGATTGGGTACATTATATATAGGAACATAATCACACAATTATCTAGTGGCTAAACAGTCCTGCATTTTCTCCAAATTCTACATGTTCCACATGTGGAACCTGTGACTTCATATTTTCCTGAAAGACAAGTTAAAAATCTTAGCCAACAGATGAAACACCAACTGTTGAATATTATGCCTTAGCTTTTCTAAACCTGAAGACCTCTACTTTCTTACATGGAAATCCCTTTAACTTCAAGGAGGATTTTTTGAGAATGTTGGACTCTTACTGGGACGATCAAATGGAATGCCTATTTGTATATAGACCAGCCTTCTGGACTTGTGGGCTCTGCTGATGAGTGACTTGCAGCTCTCAGAACTTGCTACCTCGCATGGCTGTTGCTGAAATGTCTATAAGGTGCTTTTTCTTTTTTTAGATTTTCTTTGAAGACATTTCTCATCTAAGGAGCTTCTTCAATTTCTGACTGAATGGTGGAGAGTAGAATTATTTATATTCCTCTCAGTCATCTGGACTTGAGTTCTAATGACCAGGTGACTGAGAAATATAAATCCTTCCATTCGCCATCAGAACTGAAGAAACTTCTTGGATGAGAAGCAAAACCTCTTCAAGGAAAAACAAAGAAAGTCCAATTACTTTTTGAAAAAGCATCTTTGAGACAATCATGACCTGGATTATTGAGAATCTCCATAGACATGTTGCTGAAATACTGAAAATTAAAAACAATACACCTCTGAAGAGCACTCAAGGAAGGAATACTAGCATTCAGATGAAGCCTGTACAATTTATAGAAGGGGAAGGGCCATATTGATAAAAATAACTGCAGACTACAAAGGAAGTAGCTGATGTGATGAGGCCTGAGGGGTTCAACAGCATGTTTTTCAGGACAGTGGTGTTAACTTTATTGATGTTGTGAGAAAAATAAATCTCTATCTCATAAATGAACAAGAGCAAGGAGACTATGAACAATTAAAAAGCATTTATTTAGAGTAAATTTTTGTAAAAGTTTGATTCTCTTTCTATCTTTCATGTTCCTTTATGAGATAGATATTTATTTTTCTCACAAACATTTTTATGCCCACAAATTGCATAAGCCTACTTGGTAGGTCACATGTAGCCTGAGCAGCCTATCTTGCGTAAGTTAATATAGGCAATGGCAGATTCTGGAACTAATCTCTCCAGTCAATTTACCATATTTTTTGGACTATAAGATGCACTGGAGTATAAGACGCACCAAGATTTCGAAGAGGTAAACAAGTAAAAAAAGAGTTTGCCCTCCCTGGTCCCCAGGAGCACTCTGCCTCCCAAACCCTCTATGTCTCCCATTTTTTTTGCAAAAACGGGGCACACAGAGGGTTTGGGAGGCCTGCAGAGTGCTCCTGGGGGTTGGGGAGGGCAAAAACAGCACTCCCAGGGAGTTGGGGAGGCAAAAAATGGGCCCATTTTTCTAAATAATGGGCTGTGCAGAGAGTTTGGGAGGCCTGCGGAATATTCTTGAGGGCTGGAGAGAGCAAAAACTGCACTCCTGGGGGATTTGGATGGCCAAAAACGGGCCCATTTTTTGCCTGTTTTTCAAAAAAACGAGCCATGCAGAGGGTTTCGGAGGCCTGCAGAGTGCTTCTGAGGAGAGCAAAAATGGTACTCCTGTGGTGTTTGGAAGGCCAAAAACTGAACACGCAGAGGGTTTGGAAGGCCTACAGAATGCTCTTAAAGGTTGGGGAGGGCAAAAGTGCAGTTTTTGGGGAAAAGGGGCCTATTTTTCACCTCCACATCATATTTTTGCCCTGCCCAGTCCCTAGTAGCACTTTGCAGGTCTCCCAAACCCTCTATGCACAATTTTTGTAAAAAAACCAAGCCTGTTTTTGGCAAAAACGTGATGCATGGGGCTAGTTTTCTGGAGGCCAAAAATGCTGTATTTGGTGTATAACATGCACCAACATTTCCACCCCCTTTTAGGGGGGGGGGAGTATGTCTTGTACTCTGAAAAGTATCTTATCTAACTCTCAAAGCAATCAAACTAAACTATTATGCTTAGGGAAGTTATTGATAAGGTAGGATTTTTGAAATTTGCAAGTAGGATATGTTTAAAAGACCTGTCCTGGATCATCTTAATCTAGAAAAAGCTCCACTTCTAAAATGCTGATTCCCAACAATAGTTTGATAGGGACAATTCACTTATTTCCTGAATTTTTTATATATGAGTGCCCAGAAAAATACAATTGTCCCATTCATACCAAGGAATTATGATACTGACAAGCAGCATTTTCATATACAGATGTCTATTACTATTAGGTTCTGAATAGCTTTTATTTTACTTGCATGCATTCACAAATGTATTTCTTAGTATCTTCTCTTCTACATAGAAAAGTATTGAATATATGGTTCAGCTTTTGCAGAAGGAAATTCCAAAAGCTGTGTAGAACTCACATCTAAATTGCTTATTTAAGATGATCTCTTGTGCAACTTAATATCCCAAATTATTATTACTGAAAGATTTCATTCTGCAGATGTTGTTGTTGTTTTTGCCTAAATTCAGATTTATAATGTGAAGTGATTTGAGAATCCTTCAATCAGTTAGCTGTTTTGCAGCTAAGATTAATTTTAATTAGTTGAGCTATTTGTTGAAAAGCAAAATAAAAATATAAAATGAAATATGCTTAGAATTATTGCTCTTTATTTGAATTAGTTAAACTTTTATAAGAGTCCTACATGGAAAATATATTTCCTATATTCTTGCAATCTCTTTATAAAATTATACACAACAATTATTTTATTTGTGTTTTATTTAGTAGTCTGAACATCACAAGCAATAATGTGGGGAGAAAATATTGTGAGGCAAAATGGATTACAAGAAAACAGTTCCTAAATTACAAACTAAAAGCAATTTTCACCAGTCTTATCCTGTAGTTTCTTCAGTTAGTTTTTCTGGGTCAGGTTCTAATACTTTCTCAGACTCTTCCCCAGTTTTTTCCTGTTCCTCTGCTTTCTTTTCAGTTTCTCCTTGATCTGGTTCTCCCTCCATCTGTTGTAGTTCCCCATTCTCAGGCATAGGCATCTCTTCTCTTTCTTGGGGTAATACCTCTTCTCCTTCTTGGGGTAATACCTTTTCTCCTTCTTGGGGTAATACCTCTTCTCCTTCTTGGGGTAATACCTCTTCTTCTTCTTCTTGGGGTAATACCTCTTCTTCTTCTTGAGGTAATACCTCTTCTTCTTCTTCTTGGGGTAATACCTCTTTCACTTCTTCAGATTCAGGTTTTTCAGCTTCCTCCTTTTTTTCTTTATCAGCTGCATCTCTCTTGAGGGCCTCCTCCTTCTCTTCCTCCTCCTCCTCATCTTCTAACTCTGGGAAATAATAGAATTTCAATGTTTACATCCATCTCTACTTTCAGGTTTATGACTTCTCAGCCATATTTCCATTTTACAACTATGAGAAAGGCAAGATTACTAAGGAAGGAAAAAAACCCAAAAGTGAGTCCAATTATAAAGGGAACATAAATGGATGGTTTTTGATTTCCTGTTCAGAACTTGAAGGCAGCTATATTATTCTACAATGCCTTGCTATAATACCACTGCTTTTTGACAGTAGGCATAAGGATATGTAGATTCCTGACTTATCAGGAATACAAAGACAGGAGGCTACTCAACAATCCTCATTCTACCAACAAATAATAAGAGACTGGAGAAATACTACCACCTACAGGGCAAGCTTTTCTGTGCAACTGCAATGCTTATTCCTTCACTTTTAATACAGAATCTAAAATCATTGCATTCCAATATTTAATGTTGGCCATGGTTTTTTGAGACATGATTATTATGTATTCAATACATTTGTAGTATTTATTTACAAATGCAGGTAATAGAGACTTATCAGAGATTTTGTAATTTTAATTAAAATTGTCTACTTGAACATTTTAACCTTTATTTTCTGTTCAGCACAATAGGATTAATAATGTATTACTTATTTTAATTAATCCATTTTTGATCCCTGAACATTCTGAAATACTATTGACTGTTGCTTCTTTTTTCTATGTCTGTTACAAAATACAGCTCAAAAATAGCATTTTTATTATGGCTAAATTGATGGCTATCACATTTTCATTGCTTTTTATTTTCCTAGGAGACCACAGGCATCATAGTATGCTATAACAGTACTTGTGCAATCTTGTTTTGATACTGAAGTATCTAGATTTAAAAATTGGAACGTAGCATTTTTATTCAGTTTTTGAAATCATATTTCATATGTTGAATAGGATGATCTATTTTATAACCCTGAGCTGATTTTTGGTCATCTCGGAAAGGCTATGCTATGGAAATGTGGCTAAGATTTAATGACCCAAACAAATAGCAATAGCAATAGCAGTAGACTTATATACCGCTTCATAGGCCTTCAGGCCTCTCTAAGCGGTTTACAGAGAGTCAGCATATTGCCCCCAACAATC